GCTTCTATTAGAAGCGTTACCGATACACGAGACCTAATGTAGGTATCTGAGAATGAAATATAACCATCTTTCCAGAAAACGTATCATCTGATAACCACACAAACCACATTTTTTCATGGGTTGCTCTGATCTGGCATGTTCAAGAAGAGTGATTTCTGGCTGGGTTTTAAAACGCGTCAGGAGCTCCACATATCAAACCAACTGCTGCTGAAACTGCCAGCGCTCGGGGAGGTTTTTTCCTTCCTCAGATGGGCTAAAAGGTCTTAAACTGGGCACACAATAATCCAGCCCTAAGCAGTGGTTATTTAAAAACCCTGTCTTCTCTTTCAGCGAAGGCTCTAAAGTAGCTGGATCTACCTGTTTACCGCTTGCCAAAAGATCAATACAGCTTTTGGGATACCTGAAGGAAATTTCCTCCTGCATAATGAAAACATTTGTGGCAGCGGGAAGCACAGCTGCCGGTGGAAACACAAAAGGACACTTGGCAAAAGCAATCGATGACAAGCCTAAGAAAAAGGCAGCCTCAGGGTGTCGTCCGGTATTAGGAGCTGCAATTTCTCCGCGAGGAATCAAACGCAGCCGACAGTACTCACTTCTGGAGGTTCTGGGCTTCAACGCATGATGCAAGTGGAAAATGAGCCTTTTAAGAGACTACTGACTGCTGAGTGGATGTAAAGCTGAACCAGTCTTGAATTACAGACCTATTACAGAAATAATTATTATGTCTGCCGTGCAGCTGAACATGGTCACATAAATACCACGTACACAAGATACCTGAATTGCAGAGGTTCCAGCAATTGTATCCCCTTCTTACTTCACCATTAACAACATGATTTACGACCAGACCGAACATCAGACAATACACGATACTGTTAAAATAAAATTTTAAAAACAATTTCGGTGCATTTTTTAAATACACAAAGAGAAGCCAGGCTTGATGCCGCAGTCCCAGGAGCTGCACGGGTGCACAGCCCAGGGGACACTTTCTGCCACCTGCCTTTCTCAACACCCGCAAGTTCTCCTTTGGCCTCATTCACTAATTAAAAGTCAGAGCCTGGCTCAGAAAAGAGGTGCTCAGCCCTTGGAGTTAAGCGGTGAGTCACGGTGGCAGTCAAATATGCCCCGCACCTTTAATGACTCACGGGTCAGGTGAGAGGAGCAGAACGATGGGGAGCAGCAATTCTCATTTGCATGTGTATTTTACACCTTCTTGGTTCATTGTCCTCACCAAAGAGCAAAGGCAGCCGCAACCCAGTCAACGCTTTGGCTTGATGGGAACGACCCCCAGCGAAAGCTGTATTTCTCTACTGTACAAAAAGAAAAATCTGTCTTACAGTGATTCCTTAGCAGTAATTACAAATCTCTACCTAAAGAAGCGAAGCTTATCACCAAGTCCACAGCCTTGCTCGATAGGCATCCAGAAGTGCAGTGAAATCTCCTTAGCGGTGTTCTCAGCAGATAAAAATTAAAACTTCTCAGTCTTGTTGCACACTGTCTACAAAACAAAGACCCCCCTCTGGCTCTGCAATCCTTTACTCATTCCTTGGCCAACTTATTTCTCGAGCATACCAAAGCACCTCAAGCAAAGACTACTGTCTGAACAGTCTAAAAAGTGTTTATTACCTCAATAGGGAGGTGCTACAGAAATATGAAACACCAGCAATGCTTTCTTAGGGAAGTCATTTTCTTCCTCCGCTCACAACAGAGTCGCTATAAAAGCCTAGCAATTTCTCTGTTGATCTTTTTTAAAATTACACTTTTAGTTGGTGAGTTCATGTATGTAAATACAGTCACTTCTACACTCATGTCCTGTTCATGAATCCATAAAAACCAAAATCTTAATTCACTTGAGGTCCGCTCATGCAAAAAGGATCTCCTACCTCTTTATAAATGTGTATGTAAAGGGAATTCTTTACACCTCCCAAGTTAGACGCCCAATTTACCTGGAAACAGTTTAAAGCAGCAACCTGCCTCCAGCTCGGGGGCCTCAGCACAGGAGAGACATGGACCTGGTGGAGCGGGGCCAGAGGAGGCCCCGGAGATGCTGGGAGGGCTGGAGCCCCTCTGCTGGGAGGACAGGCTGGGAGAGTTGGGGGGGTTCAGCCTGGAGAAGAGAAGGCAGAAAAGGGGAGAGCTCAGAGCCCCTTCCAGTGCCTAAAGGGGCTCCAGGAGAGCTGGGGAGGGACTCTGGGTCAGGGAGGGGATCCATGGGATGAGAGCGAATGGCTTCAAACTGGAAGAGGGGAGATTGGGATGAGATATGAGGAAGAAATTGTTTCCTGTGAGGGTGGTGATCCCCGGGGGCAGGTTGCCCCGAGAAGCCGTGGCTGCCCCATCCCTGAAGGGGTTCAAGGCCAGGTTGGACGGGGCTTGGAGCCACCTGGGCTGGTGGGAGGTGTCCCAGGGCAGAGGGGGGTGGAACTAGGTGGTCTTTAACGTCCCTTTCAGCTCCAACCATGCCGTGATTCTATGACTCTATCTGGCAGCAGCTGGCCAGAGCAGTGCCCCACTTCCCTGGGACAGATCCCTCCCAGTCCCACATCACTTCTGTCATATAGGCAGCGCTGGGTTTGCAGCTTTGTGATTTACCATGTGGCTGGACTTAACATAAGACTCAGTATCTGCAAGAAAGCCAGAAGCCAACTCAGAATATCAGCTGGAGTCCAAGGGCCAACACAGTTTGAGTGCTTATTTCTTTAGTCAGACTTGCAGTGCCGGTTCCTGGTGAGGAACAGTGTATACCTCCATGGCAGGCTACGGTCGCACTGTACTGGTTGAAACTGCACAGAGTCACATCCTTTTTATCAGATTAACCGGGACCAGAAGCTGCAGTGGGCTGATCAAGACAAAGCATTATACGAAGAAAATCCAAAACTACGTCAAGAGGAGGACGCCAGATTGATGAGCCCTCCAGTGCTGCACAATTCAGACCATAGAGGTCAGCACATCACTATCACTGGAAAGACACCACTGGACATAGAAGAAGAGCTTAACTTTAGGAAAAAGTAAAGAAATGACTGGACAAAAGGGGAAAAAAATGTATTCGCAGTTAGGTGGACCACAGCCTATATAGATAGATGCTGCACTGGTTTAATCGAAGGTCATGCTCAGAAAGACTTTTTAAGAAGTATTCTGGCTGAAGGTCTTTTTCCCCTTTAGGGAATCACTGTACAAAATCTAAAATTAACTAATGACTTGCACAAGGAGGAAAAAATTTCAAGGCTACCATAATTGCATTCAAAATAAGGAGTGAGAGAGACCAGGTCTCAGGTTACCGCCTAACGCAGTGCCCACAGTATAAAACAAATAAAATATTGTCGGTATTCCTCATGTAGCACGGCCTCTGTTGATGGAAGCAGTGAGGGAGAAGGGCTGAACTCTCATGTACGTAGCGAAATAAATTCAACCTTGAGTGTTTATTCCAAGTGTCATTGACCATCTCAAAACAGCACTGCAGTAACACAGGACAAAAGCTAAATGCAAAAAGCAAAAGGTCTGATTCATCTTGAACCCAATTTTCTCGCCTCTAGAATATTTAGGAAATGCAACTTGAATAACTCCCACATGCCTCCATTTACTAAGCATTTAACGTGAATTTTATGTTAAAAATATAAACCTTTATTTATCTGCTGGAAAAAAAACACGTATTGTTAGGGTTTTCTCACATTGCTCGATCCGCGTGCTTGCAAGGCAGTACACTGACTTCAGAGTCACTTCATTTTTGCACGCGCTTAAAATTACTTGGTCACACGGTCCGTGTCATAAAATAGTTTCCCCAATCTGCAGAGCAAGGGACAGGCTACTCAAAAAAAACAACTTTAGGTCCAATAAAATTAGCTAGACACCTGCAGCAGAAAAAAAAAAAAAATAGAATAACCACATCCTGAACCACCTGACGTACATACAAGCACAGCACTAATTTGAATAGACAACTTGCAAACACCACCCTTCGCCCATAACGGGCTGTACCCTCCTCTGCTCACAACCAGGGCACTAGAGCAAAAGAAAAAGCAATTCTTTTCCCAACTTGTTCGTGATTTTATCTTGATAAAAAACCACTTGGAAAGAGCAGCATGGCACTTTTTGTCTGGTCTTTGAATGACAAGAAAAAAAATCCAAAGGAAACCAGCAGAAGGGTTTGCTGCCCTCCAGAGGAAAAGCAACCGAAATTACAACTTTAAAATACGAAGATAGACATGAGGCGAGGCAAGGGCTGGTCCTACTCAGTTTTAAAATCACTTTTTTAGTAGATGACGACGGTATCAAGGAAAATCTACTGCAGTGAATGATGACAAGGTAGCAAACTAAAACTGCCAGTAGGGATGCTCACCTAGTTGTAACAGCTCCAAAACCTCAAATCCCTCATTTTTCTTGTTTTATACTGCAAAATGCACCGAAAAGTTATGTATTTAACAACCCAAAGCACACACAAACAAATCAGCCTCTGATTTTCAGTTCATCAACTGTAAAATGAGGAGACGAGCATCTCCCTGTCATACCGAAATACTGCAAGGGTAACTGCGTTTGAGTCTGCAAGGGGCTCGGAGCTCCGGAGCACTGACGCTCTCGGGGGTGAGTCATCCCTTATGGGAGCTGACGTCTGGCCTCCCTCCAAGCCGGGATCAGTTCCCCTTCCCAGCTAAAGGAAATAAATCCCGTGGCAATGTGATTCGTCACAACTCCCAATCAAGGTGATGAGGCATAAAAGGTAGAAGTCCAGATGGAATGCCAAGAAATTCGAAGCAGCTTAGCATTTCCTATATGAGGAAACAGATAAACCACGGCCCTATCTTCCGCTGGTGCTGTGCAGTACACAGAGCAATGCTGCAAGTTGAGCTATAAATATTCTGTGCCTAAAGACGTATTTGGACAAACACTGCTTTTCAAAAAAGAAAAAAAAAAAAAAAAAAGAGGCTGAATTTTTGTCTTCAATATTTTCTGTTCTTACATCAGCTGAAGAACACTTAAATAATTACATTAAAGAAAACCGAGACGCTTACCTGACGGCCTCTGCTACATTATTGGAAGTGTGACCTGATAAGGCATCGTGAAGGTTTCTGATGAAGTAATCTCTGTAGTCTTCAGGCAGGGCCATGAACGTTCCACCCATCACAATGAACTCTACTTTATCCACGCTGTGGCCCAACTGCTTCAGCTGTAAAATTAAAAGTACCAGGGAAAAATTACCAATCAGGGACTTATCTAAAAGACTTCTCTGAAAGTCCTGACATTCTTACACTGCATTTCCTTCTTCAGTTGTCATATCTCTAATGAATGACAAACCATTAATACTTTTGTACAGATTTCTTATAATCCCCCAAAACCTCAAAAATGATTTTTTCTACTGCAAGAACGCAGGACAAATATTGAGCCCAGCATAACAGGTTTTCTTGACAAAGAGCATTATTTGAGCCCAGCATCTTGCTGATGGAGTTACACTGGTTCCAGTTTGAAGCTAGCTTAGATATGGCCAATAGGAAAAGTTTCCTCGCACCTTCTTCATTCCACGTAGAACTAACTTTCCTTAAAAACTTGTGGGAGAAAAGGGCTACACTGAACCCACGGAGAATTTTCCAATGGATTTGAAGACAAACAGGAAACCAGTCAGAGCAGAACAGGATTGAGAAACTCTTCAGATCTAATTCTCCAGCGGAGACCCCAAAAAAATAATTTTCATAGGAAAGACACTATTTCAGTATTGAATTCTCCATGTAAATAGTTATCAAGAACTAGCAACTGCCACAATAGTTCAGTACAATTTTGATGTAATAGGGTCTCCTATCAGTAATCAGGCATTGTTCAGAGCAGATGACATCTTACAAGAGGTTCAAAACTTGTCACTTATCTAATGGAAATAACTGTTAAGACAACTAAAAGGGTGAAAAATAATACTTCTGTAGGGATCAAGTCAGGCTAACACAGAATTATAGAATCATGAAATGTTGAGGTTGGAAGGGATCTCTGGAGATCACCTAGTCCAATCTCTATTCTCAAACCAGCATCAACTACAGGATTTTGTTCGGTGCTGTGTCCAGACAGGCTTTGAGTATTTCACTGGATGGAGACCGTACAGCCTCTCTGGGCAACCTGGTCCAGTGCTCGGTCACCCTCCCAATTAAAGTCTGTTTCCTGATGTTCCAATGGAATTTCTCATGTTTTAATTTGTGTCCATTGTGTCCTGTCCTTTCCTGTTCTGTCACTGGGCACCACTGAGAAGAGCCTGGCTCCATCTTCTTTGTGTCTCATCGGCAAGATTCCCCCAAGCCTTCTCTTTCCCAACATATATAGTCTTGGCTCTCTCAGCATCTCCACAGATGCTCCAGTCTTTCCATCATCTTAGTTGCCTTTTGCTCGACTTGCTCCAGCATGTTCATGTCTGTCTTCTTTTCAGGAGCACAGAACTGGACACAGCTCTCCAGGTGAGGCCTCACCACTGCTGAGGCCAGAGGAAGGATCCGTCTCCCTTGACTCACCCTAATGCAGCCCAGGAGGCTGCTGGCCTTCTTTGCCTCAAGGCCACAATGCTGCTCATGGTCAACTTGGTGTCCACCAGCACCCCCAGGTCTTTTTCTGTCAAGCTGGTCAACCCCCAGCACGTACTGGTGCCTGGGGTTGTTCCTCCCCAGAGGCAGGAGTTGGCATTTCCTTTTATTGAACTTCAAGAGGTTCCTGCCAGCTCATTTCTCCATCCTCATCCAGGTGCCACTGAATGGCTGCACAATCCTATGGTCCACTCCTCCCAATTCCGTATCATCAACAAACTTGCCGACAGCGTGCTCTGTCCCAACATCCAGGTCATTAACAGAGAGGGTAAACACTATTGCTCTCCAATATTGACCGCTGAGTTATATCACTGGAGACTGGTCCCCAGCTGGACTTCGTGCTGCTGATCACAACCCTTTCAGCCCACCAGTTCAGGCAATTAAAAGCCTCGTGATTACTTTCATCACAATCACAATGCATTCCCCTTTCACTGTAAAAATTTACCTGTTCCACTCTATGTCTTGTCTGGAGATAGGGGTCATACCTCGCCCGAATGGCCCTCATGGACGTTGGCTAAAAAACACAAAGAGATCCATTTTGTAAACTTTTTTTTTTTAAAAAAAAACACAGTGAAAAAGAACGAAGGACATTTTTTAGCACTGAAATGCTCAAGTCTTCAAATCCTAATGGACCCTACAGTATTCAAACTCACAACCAGAGAAGCCGCCCAACTGCAAATTTGGATTTGGCTCCTTAACATATTTTTTTTATTCTTAGATGGTAATATAAAGAGAATGATGCATTTTTAAAAAAATTTTAGCGCATTATGGAAGGATGGATAAAGAATCTCAAAAAATATTGTAAAAAAAATAATCACAAAGTGTTCTTCAAAGTACAAGTTTTTCTGTCGTGTTCATTTCAGTTTTTCTTCATGTGCACATCGGTTACCCAAGGAGTATCCTCCAGAACTCAAATAAACTTCAAATATTCTTTCATCTAAACAGATTCATAGAATCATAGAATAGTTTAGGTTGGAAGCGACCTTGAAGATCATAGAGTCCCACCTCCCTGCCCTGGGCAGGGACACCTCCCACCAGCCCAGGTTGCCCAAGGCCACGTCCAACCTGGCCTTGAACACCTCCAGGGATGGGGCAGCCACAGCTTCTCGGGGCAACCTGCCCCAGGGGATCACCACCCACACAGCAAAGAATTTCTTCCTCATATCTCATCTCAGTCTCCCCTCTGTCAGTGTGAAACCGTCCCCCCTCGTCCCACGGCTCCCCTCCCTGATCCAGAGTCCCTCCCCAGCTCTCCTGGAGCCCCTTTAGGCACTGGAAGGGGCTCTGAGGTCTCCCCTTTTCCGCCTTCTCTTCTCCAGGCTGAATCCCCCCAACTCTCCCAGCCTGTCCTCCCAGCAGAGGGGCTCCAGCCCTCCCAGCATCTTTGTGGTCCCCCTCTGGACCCACTCCAACAAGTCCATGTCTCTCCTATTCTTTCAATTGAAATCCATATGATATGATCCATATATATAATCCATATATTTCCATATTCTTTCAACTGAAATCCCTAATAACTTACTTTTTATATTACGAGCTGATGTAAGCCTGCTAATAATACTCTAAGATAAGGTTTTCAAGTATCTTGTGTATCCTGGATTTGTCTGGTATTTCATATCTGTTATATTAAAAGCTCTACAGGATGAGGACTCTTTAAATGTTGTTAGTATTAAACAAATGAATACAACATATCCAAAACAACATGAATTATAAAGTAATATAAATACGCACAGGATTTTCCTATTTTGCACTAATGGACAAGTTTCAAGCCACTGAAAAACGGGTAACAGACAAAATCCATCCTAAAAGGATGCTGCATCACTGTTTACCAAATCCATCCCATTTGTGTTTTACCTCACTGTACTACTTCGTATCTGTACAACCGTTACGAGTTGTTTTGTGAAAACCAGTCACAATAATTTAGTTACAAGACCTTTTGCTATGAAAATTTTGGCAGACAACAGGAGAGCGCTATTTTGCTTATATATATTTAGTAAGATATCACTGCAGATACTGACGTATCAGGGCACGGATGTAATTTCGGAGGCACTAACAGCTAAATAATGGATTTTTTTGCAAAGCTTGACCTTTGTTAATCCACAGGGTCCTGTAGGTTTGACAGACTGAAAGCTGGTCCAGTTAGGGCAGGATGCTCAGGGCTGTGTCCAGCCAGTGTCTGACTACGTTTAAGGATAGAGATCCCAAAATCTCTCCCGATCCCTACTCAAGTGTTTGACAACCCATGTGTTAAAATATTCTTTTCTTACATTAAGGCACAACTTTCACCATTCCAGCTCGTGTTTGTTGCCTCTCACCCTTCCACTGGGCAGCTCTGAGGAGGAGTCTGGCTCTGCCTTCTCTGTTCCTTTCCCTTAAGCCCATATTGAGCCAAAAGTAAAACTGTATGTTTCGGTGAGACTGTTTAGTTAGGAACATTTTGATGCAGATTGATAACTGCTGTAGGAATCACAGCTAGAGTTCATTTCAAGAAACTGCATGCAGCAGCGTCCCATGGGAAACAGCAATGTCACCTTCACCTGCTCTTACTCACTTATCGCTTTCCACAGCTGGAGATTCAGATTAACAGCCGGTCCCACCCCAGCGAGTCACGGGCTACAGCCACGACGCTGCGCTTGCCCCGCTCAGACTCACAGGCTGCTCGCTCCTGCTCTACAACGTATTACACGTACGACAGTATGAACAGCAGCAAGGTGAGGAGAAAGAAACAACTGCTACAGCAATTGAGAAGAATTTCCGGTCCTGTAGTTGAGCTGCTTTCGATCTTGAAGTTTATGAAGTCTGCTTCTGTTTTTTATTCTTGCAACATTAGGGGAGTTTGTAGACATAAAGAGCAGCCTAACCCAAGTTTATAGAGAGTGGAGGCAATGCATTACGGCAGACGGAAGCAATACCTCATATCCAGTGTAAGACTGCGTTGAGTACTCAAAATCAGAATCGGGTCCACCTGGGCAGTATCTGCAAATATAAAAAGATAGAAAACAGGCATCAGACTCATACAATCGCAACAACTTAATCTGTCTGAGGTACGGGTCTACAAGAGGATGCAGGCTGAGCAGACACTGCCCTAACTACCCTGTCTTGCATCAGAAACACAAGGGAACACAAATTCGAGACAGCCTGACCACAGCAACTCCTGCCAGTCGCTGTCACGGTATTCGGGAGCGCTCCTATAGGCAAAACCAAACTCACCAAAGGAAGGCTTTATCAGCTCAAGCACTACAGCACCTTAACGCTGCAATACAGCCTCCAGACTAAAGCCAGGTCACGACCGGTCAGCTCGGAGCACGGGATGAACAAATGAATTCCTGTGTTTCTACATCACTCGATGCAAACACAGGTACAGACCCAAACGCACACGCTGGAGAGAGTGATGCTGTGACAGCCAGTAACACTGAGAGGAACTGAGCCTATGTATGTTTACAAACACTAAGTGTGCAGTGCAAAACAGTTGTTTCATTTAATTTTAATGAGAATGGGATGTCAAAAACCAGTTCAGACCTGTCAAACGACTACATCCACATAAAACAACTTGATGAGACTTACTAGAAGCAAAATGTGCTGTGAACGTGTTTCTGGAACATGGCATTATCTTAGGGAGCTGCCATATCGTTTTGGAGTAACCGTTACACACAGATTATCAGATTTTAAAATGTAATTTTATAATAATAAAAAATTTAAGTGTTTTCCACCATTCTATCAGAAACACTGTCTCATTTGATGTAAAACAGGATTCTTGTTTGGCATGGAAAGACATAAAATGGCCATCATCCTGTTACACAACCTACATGTCTTTGCCAGAAATTTATAGAATTTAAACATATGATGGTGAGAAAGTTTCTTGCCATTTATTTTCTGAACTTGGGAACACGCTATTTAATGAATACAGCATTCTAAGATTATTTCACTAGAATACAGTCCACCTACTTCAGATAACTGTATAGCAGTCTGGTATTAAATGACAGTTTCTACATCTAGAGGCTCTTATTCTGTGACACAGCGAGACAGATTTGCAGCTATCCCAGCATGACTGCGAGCCAGGAAAGGAACGCTACACAGCAGACAGTAATTAAAAGGAATATAAATTTATTCTGAAGGGTCCTTAACTTTCTTTTCAGGCCTGTGGGATTAATGACTAACCTACAGCCATTCTGTGCTCAAAGATGACCTGAGACAGGACGGATGACAACCGCTTCAGCATTAGCTGCAGGTGCTGAGCACCTCCAACAGACAAGGTAATAGACCAGTCAGCGTATTGTTACTTACGGTGCAGATCTGAAACACACAGACTAAGATAATGCCATCTCTATCAAATCAGACGCATTCGGTTCACAGTATAATTGATTAGTTTCCTCACTGCCTGCCCTGCAAACTCAACCCGAGTCATCTGTCACCATTATAAAATTAATGACCAAATTACCATGGCCAAATTAATTTGCTGGCAAAAGTTGTGCAATCCAATTGAAGACATTTCCTATACGTAATTACCTGGAACATCTCAAACAGAATAGCTGCTCAGGCGAAAACAAGAACGCTCTGGTAGTGAAACACACTGATGTTTTGGGAGTGTCAAGGCAGAAGAGAGAAGCAATGTTTTGAAACAGATGAACTGACATGGTCAGAAAAAAAACCAGATGAGATTTCAGGTGCACGGACTCTTAAGTCAAACAGAGGTAATATACTTCAAGGTAAACCCAGCTTAGGTTTCTCAATTCAAATAAAACTCAGAAGCTATTCCCTTAACACCACAAGCTCTTGGCAGCTGGAAGCCTTCCCCTCCATCTGCACTCTCGTTTCGTTCCAGAGCCAGGCAGAGCCAGACTGTCACACCGAGCAAGTCCTCGCAGACACCACCTGCACCTCCTCAGGTGGGTATCTCGGATCAGCAGCTTTCAAACTTTTCAGATTGAACCCTGTTTCTTTTCTGTAATAGTCTTCTCCAATCTCAGGTACCCAGTCACATGCACAACACACCTGCACACCCTAACACAATAACACAACTTCCATTTGATCATTAATATATTCTCCTGGTTTCTATGTTCACAAAAGCGAGTATCTGCTGAAGGTAAGCAGGCTTTGGCCTGTGAAAGGAGAAAAGTGTCCTTGAAGAAAAACTGAAAAAAAGCAGAATTTTTTTAACATGTAGCGTGCAGGTATCGGCAATCTGCAACTTTGCTCTTGTGCAGAAAGGAAGCCTGTCCCCAATACAATGCTACTGCAATACCAGATTTATCCATAAATACTGCAAAACAGTTCTCTTAGGTCATCTAAGCTGTCATACTTACACACAGATGTTGCCTGTGAAGTTAATGTGTGGACACCTGTGTGGTTTACACATCACAGCCACGACAGCAATCTGTAAGAAACAAAGTTACAGAGGAGAAAAATCACAGTAATTGCTTCTGAAGCTACTAAAATAAAGTGCATCTTGGAAGGCTATGTATACATGTGCATCTGCGAGGGACTATTTAAAGATGTTTTCTGCTTAGCCTGCCACCTAGAATAGCTGTGCATTAACTCTTGAAGGAGATAACAAATGTATCAAGAAATAGGAATCCTGTTATTTGATATCTTCACAATTCAGAATAAACTGGCAGCATATTATGAAGAACCAGGTGTCTCACACTAAATCTGATTAACCACCCTGCTGAAAAGATGCAGACTGACATTGAGGTATTCACCAGGACCAGCTAACCACCATCTATCTAAACCAGAGCCAGGGTGAGAGTGTGCCACCAGGCATCCCAAACACCAGCTGGAAGACCAAAATGGGGAAGAGATGAAGAGAAAAAAAAAAAAGATAGAACCCAAAGATAATAAAAGCTTCCTCCCTCCCCCTAACTGAGCGAAGCCTTTTTGTCCCAGGCTGAGATCTCAGACGGCTTTTCACAAATTAAATGCAAGCACAATGTAAGATGCTATCTTCTTTTTTAAAAAGGACCATAGGGGAGAACAGACAGATGCACAAAAATTTTCTAGCGTCCACTAATTTGGGGCACCCAACTTGGAATACCTCATTTCCAGTTTTCAGAAATCCTTGTTGGAACAAGAGTCTAATATAATTTCTTCTTTCTGGATGTAGAATATTTAAGAAATTAGGGTTTTTTTGGAGGGTGGGTTTTTTGTGGTTTTGTTTCAGGTTTTTTGGTTTGGGGTTTTTTTTTCTGAAGTCATAAAAATTGAACACTTTCTGAGATTTTTGTTTCTGGTTTGGGGTCTTTTTTTTTTTTAAGTTTAGGCATGCTATACATACAGTAGGGAAGCTTAAAAACAGACAGCTAAATGTTAGCTGTACCTCTATTCCTGCTCGCAGACAGAACTACCTTTCAAAGAAAGAGGTTGAATACTAACTTTTTACCTTTGTTCACTGCGAGGGCCTGCAGATTAAGCTGCACTGTTTCTACAGCAACTAAAAAGCAAGACACAGCTGCCCTGAAACAAAATCTCCAAACCTCCTCTTTCTCTTCTGCCAAATGCTTTGAAAGCAATAGCCCTGTGGGCACAACATCACAGGAAAGGCAACCTGGAAGTTGGCAATGTAGCCAGCGCATCTATATGAAAGCTTCCGGACAGTCAATATCCTGGTCTTTGAAAACCATTAAACACAATTTATCTATGAGAATAGGGAGGCAGATGGAGAGAATCATAGAATCTCAGAATGATGTCCATGCTTACCCCGCTAGCAGTTCTTATAGGTTTGGCCTTCAGCTTTGGGACCAGCACCTTGCGGTACTGTGGTGGAACAGCAGCGATGATGTCAACCAAACGCGGCTGCGCTGAAAGTCCATACTTGGCTGATGTCTTGGTTTTCAGTCTGAAAACAGAAATATCTCAAATGAACAACTCCGTTCTGACTTGCATACCCATATTCCACAGCAGTGCTATTGTATTACTGTTTAGTTAGATGGAGATCTAGGTAGGTTCTCCTAATTTACCTTTCCAGGTAACTTACTTAAAAAGCATACAGTAATTCCTTGCAACGGCTGCATGGCATATTAAGATACAGAAAATAAATTCAAAATAAAGTTGACATGCAACAACTGCCAATGTTTTCAGTTTCTGTATATTTTTCTTCTAAATATGTTTTTATCAAAACCTTGCAAAAGCTGCCCACAGAGTCTGGCTTACCCCTTTTCAGTGATTTAATTCTTTTCATAAGTCTTCCATGTGATTTACCCCTATATACACAGACTCAAGCTGAGTTCATTCTCAGACATTCATGTCAGTTATTTCCAGCATCAGCAAAAAGTCTGAAATTACATCATGTAAACGAAATGGAAACAGTGGGACAAATTCAGGTTTTATTATTTCACATATGTAAAGAAGGAAGAACTTTCTGTAAACAAGAACTTCATTTATAACACATTACTAAGAAAATTTGTTTTAAAATTTATCCCTAAATTAATCTTTCCTTTCCCTGATGGAACTGACTTTAGACTACTGAAGGATGAACACAAGTGGAAACACAAAAAGGCAATGACAAGTTTCTCAGAGTTTTTCACCAATACAACCTATTTTGTACTCTGAGTGTGGCCAATGAAGTAGCACAGCATGAGTTCAAATCACCACACAATTTACAAATCTTGGTGGTATTTTTTAAACAGATAACAGTAAGAGAAATGACAGCAGACCATTAAAATAAAACATTTTAAAATAAAGCCTGAACATAAGAGATTGTACAAGACATGTTCACTACTGGTGGCCTTGCTCTTCAGTGTCATCCCAGAGTGACTTACTTGTTCAGATTCACATCTTTTCCCTGCTCGTGAGCGTCAATTAATTGCTTTATGATGTCAGCTATCGTCATCATCATCAGCTCTGCATGGCTAACGTCTCCTGAAACAAGAACAAAACAACAAACCACATGTATAGCCAGTGCTTTCTAACTGCTTGTGACAACTGAGGCGCATCTGCTCTGCAGTTCATTTTTAGTATTTCCTACAACTGTTGCCTACAGAGGGAATTTTGCCACTGTGCATTACTCTTGATTTCCAGCATTCCCCGAACAAATGACAGTCACTGCCTCATATTGCTGGTTTTCTTTTACTTCTACGTAAAATCCCATCTTCTTATGTCAGAGGACTCTGCACAACAGCTAGAAATAAAGTCATTGGAAGTTAAAGACAATTAGTAGACTAGTCTGATGGTACCGGTACACGTGGCAAGGAATAAAATGTATTCTGAGAAGGACGGTGGGGTAAACCAGCTCTGTGAATTCCCCTCCATCACAGAGAGGGTATGCTGCATCAGGCAGCGTACCAGTGCCTTAAAGCTTCTCTGCTGCACCTCACAGACCCACCTCATGTTGCAACAAGGTTCTGTATACATATATAGACTGTATACATTGCTTACATTTCTCCCATACCAGCCTTAGGAGAAGAGGGGGATTGCTATTAAGAGATCCATCCACACTTCCTAACAACAACGAGCACTTGTTTCACCTCGTGCAGCTCTGTCTATAGTAGCAAGTGTTGGGACAGTAAAATATGAGCACCAAACTTGTCAGAAAACCCACCAGCAAGGACATAGCAGGGTGCGCAACCACTCCAACAAGTTTTTGTTCGTGCCAGCTGTACTGAAATCCAGCAGCATTTACACCCTCTCCAGGAGAAGCACCGCAGCGATGCTCCCATATGGTCTCTCTCCGTAGGTAGTTTTGTGGACCAGACCAGGCCACTGCCCCCGTGCTGCCCTGCATCATCTTTGCTGCCCCATACCCTTTCCCCTGTTTTTTTTTCTCCTGTTGCCATGAGGGAGCTCACTCAACACCCAAACTGCCCTACCCCAGCACCCCATTCTGTACCTGACAGTCAGGAGCAAGGCAAACCCCTGAGCACCCCCATGGGTGCAAGGACTCTGCCTCCCACGGACAGCACCCAACTCAACAGCTGGGAAGGAAAACGGATGGCTCACAGAGGGGTGCCAAGTCCCTCCAACCCTCAAGCAAGGTCGGGGCTGGCCTTTCACCCGCCTCCAAGACAACATGGAGGGGGACAGCAAGGTCTTGCCCCATTTTCCCACTCCACGCAGAGGCACTGCGATAGGGGAGGTGGTAAAGCCCTGCCACCTCACAGCTCCCAGCCCCACAGCGCCAGGGGAAGCAAGAGGAGGAGCCCCGTCCCTCAGACCCCCCGCAATACCCAAACACAGGGTAAAGTGTTGCTCCTCACCCCCCACCTTACCACACACAAGGCCGGGGAAGGCGGCAAAGCCCTGCCCCGCTGCCCTCTGCTGCTGAGAGAGGAGCTGGGCCCACCCTGTCGCCATCCTCCGGGCATCGCGATCCCCCCCACACCTCAATACCTTTCCTCTTCTGCTTCATGCTGGCAGCAACCCCTCAGCCGCTCCCCTCACGGGCCAGGCCGGCGCCTCCTGCCGTCAAGCGACACCGCGCCTCACCGTCGTGAAAGCGTCGCACCTCCAGCCGCGCTGCCGGAAAGCAAAACCTCCCCCTCAGGGCCCACCCCCGCCGCCGGCCTTCGGGCCTCCCTCCCCGAGAGGCGTCGTGAGACCTGCGGGTTCCTGTGGAGCACAAGGCGGGGAGTTGGGGGTCGGGGGCGGTGGAAGGGAGCGGTGGGGGAACGGGGGGGTTGAGGGGCTCCCTGTGGGGAGAGGCTGAGGGAAAGGGCTGCTCCAGCTGGCAAAGGAAGGGCTTTGGGGGGCCCTGACCGCAGCCCCCACTACCTCCAAGGGGGTTATGTCTTCACAGTGGTGTGTGGTGGGAGGACGGGAGGTAACGGGCGCAAGTTTTAAGGAGAGTGGTTCAAACTGGGCGTAAGGAGAAACTTTTTCATTGCCAGGCCAGCCAAGCGTTGGAGTGAGTTGCTTATAGCGGTTGTTTTATCTTCTTTGGAGGGTTTGAAGACCCAACTGGATAAAGCCCTGAGCAGCCCAAAGTGATCCCAGAGCTGACCCTGCTTTAAGCCGGAGGTTGGACCAGAGACCTTCTGGGGTCCCTTGCAGCCCTAATGCTCCTATGGTCCTATGAAATAAGCTCCTTTGGTGAATCTCCAGTGACTTCTGGAGCCCACGCGAGCTTCAACATCTTCAGCTTCTCCAGGTAGGGAGTCCACAGCTGAATTACATCTCGTGTGGGGAACAACCTGCTTTTTGTTGCTGGTAGCCAGAGCCTTGCTGATGCTGCCAGCTCCTTCCTCTCTTTGCTGGTCATCCAATAGATTCTGGTGGCTCTCTTTGTGTGTAACGTGAACCTAGCAGTGAGCAGAGGGGAGAGGCTTCCTGGGTGAGAAAACAGGATTGCAGAGGTGGAGAAAACAAGCAGAAAGGAAAAGCAGGCCACCAGAAAGAAAAAACAAAAAGGCACCAAATGACAGGAAAAAATGAAAAGAGATAAGAGACACTAGCAATGGCCAAGTGACCTGCTTTTGTGATTTATGGGCTGCTAAAACTCTTTTTCTTTGAAAACCTTCTGATCTGGGAGCAGACCTGAAGATTTTTGGCATCACGTTCACGACCGGTGTGCATCTGGGGACTGAAGGGTCAGCAGGGTTTGCAGGGATGGAGGAGGGCACATGGAAGGAGCCGCAGGTTGACTGTTCCCACTTTGTGGGTTGGTTTATAAAGCAACCGGAGCCTGCTCTGGTGCTTGAGGTCAGCATGCGCAGCCTGGCAGGCAGCTTGGACAAGGGTTTGTGTGCATGTGTTGTGAGACCATCCTGCCTTCCCCACCTTGCTGGGTGGGTTTGGCAGGACCCTGCCTACACAAAGCAAGATCCCAGGATGGAAGAGGTTGAAAATATGTTTTAGACCATCTGCTCCTGTTGCTACCTTTCTCCTGCCTTGAGGGCTTTTTGAGAGCTGAATTCCGTTTCCTTTCTACAGGATGTGCTGGGAGTGCCCTGCGATGTCTGGATCTGTCTCTACCTGTGATTTTATCTCCCTGGGGGTCTCCCAAGCATCCTGTGCCAACCAGCAATTTATCCGTGGTTTGGAGAGTGGCTGTGATCAGGATACGGGCTGTGCAAACAGCTACAAAGCATCTATGCAGACATGCATCTTCTGCCATCACTGCTCTCAAACCTATTGCAGCAGCTGCTGTGCAGCAAGGGAGATTTCAGCTGCGGCCACGCATCAGGGCTTGTCTGTGTGCCTCGCCATGCCCTGCTTTGGGCTGGCTGGAGTGTGAAAGCAATTCCTTCCTCTGAATGATTTGGTGGTGCACACACTACACAGCATCCATCTGGAGGATGTCTGTGTGTGTTGTTGGGGATGGCACAGAGCACAGGACAGGTAGGATGCCTGTGCTAGACGCACGGTAAGGCGTCTAAGAGAATGCCAACAGGGACAGGGTGACTGATTTAAAACTAATTCCCCTACCCCCCTGCCTCCCCTCAATCCACACCCCCCTAAATACAACCCTACGCATCGCATCACTGCCTCCTCATCTCCTCTCCCTTCGTTACGTGATCTGGGCTGCACTCTCCGTTCGTTATCGCCTTCATCCACCTATTACAGCAACTTTTTATCTTGCGCTTAGCTACTATCATTAGCTGCTCTCCCTTTGCCGCAAGGTCTCTATGCTCTTCGGTAACCATCCTTTAACCTATTATAACCCCAACGCCGCTGCTGAGATGTCGCTCTCTGAATGCTCCTACCTCCCTGGCAACAGCTCACCTTCATTCACTTATCTTCTAGCTCACCACACAAGTTGGATATTTCCAAAAATCCTCAGTTTTAATCCAGCTGTGCTCCCAGCTGCAACCCCATCAACCTCAGTTACGTACATTCCTTTTTCCAAGTTTCTGTTTCTTTAGCTCAGAAGAGCAATAATTAGGAAAGCTTCATTTTGGCTACAAAGCCAAACTACAGTACCAAACTCTGCCATTGCTCCCGGCAAGGAACACCAGGTAAATGCAGGTGGAGTTTTGGGCAGAAACGGATGGTAAAGCTTGGGTAAGAGGGCGGCTGGCATGTTTGGGTTTGTTCCCCACATCTGAGCAGGGCTGTAGCCTAGGGCTCGCATTCTGATCTTGCTTGTACTGGTGGAATTCAGATGCGGCAATGCTGATTCACTGGCCTCTGGGGTTTAAAAGGTATTTTCAGTTCTTTAATCAAAGGCTGTGGCTAATGAGAGTTGTGCAGGATCTGGAAATGCCAAGCAGTGCAGGGAAATGCACATCTACAAGGAAGGGCGCAGGCATAACAGCCTTCCTCTGTACTTGTTTAGCAATTTCTTATCAGCGTATCTGGAAGCGCACTATAAAGGTGGGTAAATAACCATCTGCCTCTGCAGATCAGCAGCCCGGGGCGCAGACGGTGACACAGCTTGCCCAAGGCCAGCCAGCAGCTCCGCAGCAGAGGCAGGTGATGGAGACTCTGTCTCTCTCTCCCTTCTCTCCATTTCCGATTCTGACCCGTTTTGCGACCTCAGGAATGATTGTAAAGTATGTTGTAAGTACATATATTTTTATTCTAATAACATAATTGGTAGGAGTTACATCAAGGCGTTATGTTGCGCTGCAGCTTTGGCACTGGAGCTCGCACAGGTGCTGGTTGTATCCCGGCGTTCCACTGGGAGCTCTGGGCCAGGGTCTTTGCTGCTGCTTTGGAGGGCGGGTTCCCGGCTGACTGGTGAGTGGCCCAGCTGGGACGAACTGGTGGTTTTGGATCAGACTCAAGATCTGCAGAAAGTGACAGCTAGGAAGAGAAGGCAGTAAGTATCGTATCATGCCAACAGCTTCAGAGAGACTGAAAATGTTGGAGTGCATTGAGAACTTCTATCAATTCTATACATTGTATAAATTATATTCCTAAATAATATCCCAGTGTGATATTCCTAAATGATACAAGCATAATCTGCGCTATTTGGAGTGACCTGTGCTGTAAGTTAACCTTAAGGACAAAAGGACCCAATTAGAAATTGATGCTAGTAAAGCCAAACCCACATTAATTGATTCTCCACCTCAATTCATGTGTTGAGGCACAAATCGTCCCCTGCTTATATGGCTGCGACTGATCCCAGTCTTGCTTGCTGTTTGAAGTCTCACAGTGTAAAGGATGAAGTTTATTTTAAGATACTGTTCAATGAATGTTTTACTCAACAGGATAACAATTAAGAAAAAAAAAAATCTTAGCAACACAGTGATTGTTTATTCCTTGAGAAAGGTCACAAATATTCAAAACGCAGAAGTTCTGCAGACCAGCAGCTTTGGCTTTTTCTTTTTCTTACTGATACAAATTATTTGGTAAGAATAGTGACCAAACATCAACAAAACCAAATATTTACACAGCAACTCATTAAAAAGCAATGTGGGCAGATAGTCTTATGTGAAGCTAGTGTCCCTGGTAAAATGGTTGTGCAGAAAAGTCAATGCTGTTCTGTAATTCCTGCCCGCCTGTTTCCCCCTTCCATTATTTGAATTGGCAGCGGTGGCAGATATATGGTGCTTCATGCCTAATTGTCTAGTTATAAATAAGCAATCCAGCAACTGCTGAATATCAACCTAAAGAAAAGCCAGTGATTATACAACTGCCGAAAGTGGTCCAGGCTCTTAGCAGTACTTGACGGGTGACAGAGACGGGGCGATAAAATCAGGTTTTTTGTCCTAGTGAGAAAAGCGCAATACCACAGAAGCAGAAGTAGTTGCAGCACAGTTCTAAATATTCTTTGCTTTTCACCTCCTGTGTTGGTGGTTGTGTTTTAGAGCTCACCGGGACAGGTAGGCATAGACTATTAAAGCCAGGCTATGCTTTTAAAATTAGGGTGACATATATAAGCTGAGTTTGAATATGCAAACGTTATATTGAGTTATTTTGACTCTTCGGAATTGTCCCATGAAGTTCAACAGGGTTTTTTGTATGACTAAATAAAATTCAAAATAACATTTGCAGAATATAAATATACACGGGACAGGATCGTGTCTCAGTGCTGAGAGCCCTGGTGTTCACGTGGGCTATGCCCACACAGTACATAAATGCGATCCATACTCAAAACGTCAATTCCGCGTCCATGTGTCTTAGGAAAATTTATTCCTGGCTTCAGATGCTGCAATCTTATTACCTTAGGATATAAGCAGTGAGGCAAGAATGACTGATCCTGTCAAAAAGATGTTATTTAGTAAGTACTAAAAATAAGTCAGTAATTCAGGAACAGCTGTGAGGGTGGAGAAATCTCTCGAACAGAAACAAGCAGACAGGCTGAGAGGCAAAACCGGCCCCTGACTGCTGACATTGCAGTCATTTGCAAAGCTGTCAAAAGCATCAGTCACATTTTACCTTTCTAATAAAGTACCTGGGAATTTCGACATTTGAGCGTGAGGCTGCCTGTTTTGCTGAGACACTGCAGAAGACTCCTCACTGGAA